TCCAGTGTTTACTACATGTGTGGTTTCGGGCAAGTCACTTCATCTTTGTGGGTCTCAGTTTCCCTATCTGTCAAATGAGGAGGACTGGATTACATGGCTGCTGAGACCCCTTGTAGCTCCCCAGTGATGATCCTATGTCCAATTATATCACTACCATTCTCTAAGTGTATATAGGGCTTCGTTCTTTATCATTTTGTTCGATCAGAGTTAGAAACCCCTATGGCAGCAATATTGCCAAGTAATGAGTATTTCATTATGCTTTTTATTTCTTGAATCTATAGGTTTTTAGTTTTGGATGGAAGACCAACCATGATTTATTTTTTGTTGGGGGGGAGAGTGGTTCATTCTCCATCATCACCCCCACTCCCACTGAATGCCAGCATCAACAGAGACAGAATTTCATTACATTTATGACCTGTAACTCTCTGCTCCTTCCCCTTTCTCTTTGTCTTGGCTGTCTATACATTGTGCTGGAGAGAGGAGAGGGAGTTGGAAAGCATCCTCCCATTGAGAAATTTACATAGTACAGCTGGAGGTCTTAAAAAGACTTTCGGAAGAGGCCAAATCAGATGTAAATCAAAGGCAGGGAGATGTTGGAGTTGACCTCTGGCTGGCCACAAGCACAGAATTATTCTGGGTTTGAGGTCTGGGGTGTGGAGGGATGGTGTTTGTCCTCTTCTTTCTGGAGGAGCTGCTGTCCACAGGGAGCCAACTTCCAATTCATTTTGGTTCCGTTCAGTTCAATCATCAAACATGTATTAAATGCTTCCTGTGTGTAAGATCCTACACATGACTTTGTGGATAGAAAGACAAAAAGTCTCTGACTTTATGTGAGCTTACTTATATTGAGGATACAATATATATGCAAATAATCATAATAGCTGACATTTATATAATGCTTTAAGTTCTTTTAAATATTATCTCATTTGAACTGTACATCAACCCTGGGAGGTAGGTAATTATTATCCTCATTTTATAGATGAGGAAACTGAGGCCAACAGAGGTTAAGCAACTTGCCCAGGGTCACACAGTGTCTAAGACTGAATTTGAACTTGAGACTTCCTGACTCCAGGTTAGTTGGGGTGGGGTGGAAAAAAACATGAATAATTTAGAGAATCTGGAAAGACCTTCTGAAGGAGGCAGCTACTGAGCTGAGCCATGAAGGGATCTAGGAATTCCAAGAGGAAGAGGCAAGAGCATCCTAGGCATAAAGGTGGGGTGGGGTGGTCAGTCTGGAAAGATAGGTTGGTGTTTATCAAAGTGAAGTGCTTTAAATGTCAGAGAAAAGAGTTTACATTTTATCCTGGAGGCAATTTTAGGGCTGCTGAAGCTTTTGGGGAGACGGCATGGCCAGGCCTGTGTTTCAGGAGCATACATCTTGCAGCTATGTGGACTGAAGAAGATAGAGAGATTGGACCAATTAAGTTATTGCTGGAGGCCATGTGAGAGTTGATGAAGGTCTGAACTAGGGTGGTGGTCATGTGAGTGAAGAGAAAACTTGTCCATTTATTAGATGGGGAAAGATGAGGGAGAGGGATGAGTTGTGGATGGCTTTAAGTTTTTGAAGGGGATGATTGGAAGGATGGTCATGTGGCCTTGACAGAATTGGGGAATTTAGGAAGATGAGTGAGCCTGGGGTTGGGGGAGAGAAAGCTTGATGAATTTCCTTTTGGCCATGTTGAGTTGGAGATGCCCATAAGGGGTGTCCAGCGAAGACTTGGTGTTTCAGGATGAGAACTCAAGAAAGGTGATCATCTGCATTGAGAGGACAGTTTTAATTCATGAGAGCCAATGACATCAACAAAAGTAAGTTTAGATAGAGAAGAGAAGGGGGTCCAAGACAGAGCCCTCAGGTTCATCCACAATCAGAGAATCAGCCATGAGTTGTAACTGAGAATAAAGAACAGAGGCAGTTGAGTTAACCCAGAATCTGCATAATTTAGATATGCAGAAGTGTGGCAGAAAATTACAGTGATGTGCCTGACCCAATTGGAGAGTCATTTGGAGGAAAAAATGCCCTAGAAGTCCCATGATAGTATTCCCATATCTAGGACCTAGGTTAAAACAGTTGTAGTTCCCTCTGGTGACCTGCCTTTTTACACATGCCATTCTTTTCAAAGCCAGGAGGAAGGGCTAAATGTTTGGACATACTGGCATTGTAATGGGGGGAGGGGGGAGGGATTCCTAACGATTGCATTATGCATTGTGCCTGAAGTCTGGGACCTCAGAGGCACGGGGAAACTCACTCTCAGTCATCTAGTCCAGTCCCTTCATTTTGGGTCAGCGAAAGGAAGCAACTTGACCAACAACGCTAGTTAGAGGGTCTGTTTTAACTTGATTCCTAATCCAAATACAAGTTGGCCGACATTTATTAAATGCCTTCTGTATATAGAGTACAGCCTTGGACTAGAAATAGATACAAAGCTTAGATAACGAGAGCGTTCCAGCCTTGAAGGAGTTAACAGTCTACACATACATCATGTCTGTACCTTTCAAAGAATGTCTTTAAAGTTTGCTAAGTGGTCTATTTTTTATCTCATTTGAGCTTCACTACAATAGCTCAAACTTACATAACTCTCCAGGTCTTAGAAAGCACTTTTCTCACAACCACCCTGACATAAGCAGTGTCAACATTAATATATACCTCATTTTACAAGGGGAAACTGAGCCTCCCAGAGGCAGAATGGCGTGTCTAGTTTTCACTCATCTAGTCAGTACTGAAGCTGGGATACAGACTTAGTTTTTCTGAGTCCAAATCCAGTGTGCTTTCTCCACTAACACAGCAATCACATTCCCATTTCGTTGCCTATGAAAATATCGATGCATGGTAAGTTGCTTGTAGAGTAAGACAGAATTCAAAGCCACTTTCAATCACTTTCAAAAACACTTTCAGCATGTTGAATCAGTTGCATATTTTGGGCTGTTGGCTTTGCCAAGTAACCAATGTCAGCATGTCAATGGCCTCTAGGGATGTGACCTGAAATGGTATTTGGACATTGTAGGGTGATTTCTGCCGCGAATCATTGGTTCTCTGAATGACAGGACCCAGGTAGAAGTAGGGTGTTGCTGGTTGTCCAAGATGCCTGGGCACATTGCCTTTTTGAGTCTCTTGTGAGGAAGTACATGGCTCTTGGGCCCAAAGGGCTTATATTTTGGTCTCTGTGGCTTGGAGAGGAGGAAGCAGACAGATGTCAATAAGGCCGGAAGCTAAGCTAGGGAAGTTGGTGAGGTTCCGTTCCTAACTCTCTTCCCCCACCCCCCTTCTCATTCTTCTTTATTCTTCACCCTTTCCTACTCTTACTTTCTCAGTTTGTGCTCTATTCTTTCTCTTTCGTGCTAAGGTGGTGGTTGATAAAGGCTCATTGGTAATGATTTCTTCAAAGGTGATGTGATATACTAGGAAGAGTCCTGGCCTGAGAGTCAGGAGACCTGGCTTCTAGCCCCATATCTGCTGCTCACTAGCTGTATGAGTGTAGTCAGGCTGCTTCTTGGTCTGGGCCTCAGTTCTTTCATATCTGCAATGGTAGGGGCTGGAAGAGGGGTTAGAAATTGGATTATTACATCTGTAAGGTTCCTTTCAAGCCTAATTATTTAATCCAATAATAATTTACTTTATTTAAATTACAGCTTTTTCCTTGGGGACAATATGATGTAATGGATAGAAAGTTAGCTTTTGAGTTAGGAAAAATGGAGTTCAAATCCTGTCTCTGAGACTTATTGGCTATGAGACCCTGGACAAGTCTCTTAATCTCTCAATGCCCTTGACAGTGCTCAGAATTGCAGAAAAGATGCTGCTCATTTGCTTTAGGAGTTTGCTGATGAATTCACAATTCTAGCCAAAATATTTTCCTAGGAGACTTTAAATACTGAGAAAGCTTTTAAGATGAATTGAAATGGTTGGGTAGGTAGTGATACTGGTAGATGCTGCTACTGGGGGAGACTGAGGCTGAGGCTGGAAGACCATTTAAATTCAGTAGTTTTGAACTTCTGTAGGGTTAAAGCCCATCTGGTGGCTACACTAGGTCTGGTCCCAACATGGGGCATGGGTAGGTAGAGGTGGATAGGATGGAATCAAACTCCGGGAGCAGGAGCAAACTGGCCCAAATCAGAAACAACAGGTCAAAACTCTGGTGCCTGTCTGTCATCAGTGGAGTCAGGCCTGAAATGGCTGTAGTACTTGCTGGGGCATGGTAGGGAGACCAAGACTCAAGTAGGAAAGCCCACCCAACAACAAAAGACCTCCCCACTCCCAAGGAAGTGTGTCATGTGGGGAATGATAGTCAGTGGGGTGGGCATTTTGGAAAGGGGGATCCTTTGTCCTGCATTTTTCGAGTCACACTTGTGGAAGTGGTTACCTAGTCTGTCTAGGTAAGACCAGCTCTGAAGGAGGGGTGGCTGGGAATGATGTGAAATTGTGTATCCTAGCACTCCCCCCACTTTAGACTATAAACTCCTTGAGGGCAGGGACTGTCTTTTCTCTTTCTTTGCATTCAGAGCACTTAGCACAGTGACTAGCACTTACTAGGTTAGTTCTTATTAAAAGCTAGTTGACTGATTTAGGAATGAATCTTTGAGTGTTTAGGGCTGAGTACTAGGGCATCTGGGTGAGATGGAGTCTAGAAGCTGTGAGTTCACAAATTTGAAAGCAATTAAAGACTCCTTTCCTCATCTAATATTGCAAGTAAAGGCTGTCTTGGTATTTCATTTTGGTCCCAGCAAGAACATATTTTTGCTGTAATTAGCCTGCCTTCCAAGTCTTGGCACAACTTCTGGGACAGTCTACAGCCCATAAGACAGGAGGATGACTGATGTACATTGCCCAGTTTCTGTGGGGCACTAATTCCCAGGATCCTGGTAAGTTTCTTAGTGTGAACACATTGTACAGAAAAAGGGGTGGGTCACATGGCTGGTGATTACACACATCACATGTGTAGAATTATCCTGACAGCATCTTTTTTTTTCTCTCCTATTTCTTCTTTCTGTTTCCTCTCTTGCAATAGGAAGAAAAAGAAAAATACCCATTTTGAAGAGACTTCTAAATGTGAGTACCATTTTTCTTTGGCTTTTGTATGACTTTTTGCAAGTTTGTGCCAGGGTTTTTCCTTGTTTGTTCAAAGTCGAAATGATTATTTTCCCACCCCTTCCCAAATGATGAAAAAATATGCTAGGCAATGGGACAGCCTTTTGCTTGAATCTTTGTCTACACAGTGCAGAGTAGTAGGTTCTGCAGGTAAGCTGGATCGTGTAGACTACCGTTGAAGGTAACCAGGACCGTCGGACCCTGGCTTTCCTTCAATTCTCTGGGCAACTATAACTACAAAAAATGATGGGTGTTAGTGTCTTACCGTATATTTGTCAGTAACTTAAATACTCAATAGGCTCCACCTCCTTCCTTAACAATAACACCTTCCCCTTGAGAATTGCCTCCAATATTTCCTGTATATGGTTTGTTTATATAGAGTTGGTGCAGGTTGAGCAGCACCAGAGCAGGAACTGTCTTTGGCTTTCTTTGTAGCCCTAGCATTTGGCACAGTGTCTGGGAACACAGTAGATGCTTATTAAATGCTTGAGGCAGCTAGGTGGCTCAGTGGATAGAGCTCCGACCCTGGAGTCAGGAAGACCTGAGTTCGAATCCAGCCTCAGACACTTACTAGCAGTGTGACCCTGGGCAAGTCACTTAACCCTATTTGTCTCAGTTTCCTCATCTGTAAAATAAGCCGGAGAAGGAAATGGCAAATCACTCTCGTATCTTTGTGAAGAAAACTTCAAATGGGGTCACAGAGAGTCAGATAGGACCGAAATGATTCAACAACAACAAATGATTATTGATTTGAGTTGACTAACATTCTACGCCACAAGGTCTCTTCAAGTTCTGAAATTCTGTGAGAATTATGAAACCTATGGTTATATGTTCCTTGAATTGGGAGATTGAGTCCATTTAGCTTTGTGTATTTTCAGGTTTAAGTGTGAAGAGAAGAGTATCCTTTAGACCTGTGATACAGTCCTACCCTTTATTTGAATGGCTGGCCTCCAATTTAATCTCAATTTGAACAGTTAGCTTCTGCTTTGGTCTCTCTCTGCATTCAACAAACACTTAACAGGTCCTGTCAATGGAAATGCAACAGTGTAGAAAATATTTGTGTTGTTTGTGACCCTGGACCTCCTTGGCACAGCGTCTAAGCCTTTAGTTGGCTTGGAAAAGCTACTGTTGCTCAAGACAGTCTAAATCCCCTAAATCCATGCATTTGTATGTAGTGAATCCCCCCTCTGCCCCGTGCTGAAGAGCTTACGTCCTTATATTACAGTTATATGATATTGGTGTAGCAACTTCACTGGTTAATATGTAGCGAGAAGAAAACAGCTCAGTTGTAACAAAGCACGTTTAATATTGTGGAACTGGAATGTTTTTGCTTTCTGGTTTTACATAAAAGATGGTTGTGTTAACGGACCCCATCAGCCCCTACTTCTTCAGCCGGTGGTTTTGTGCCAAAGAACAAACAAACCAAGCTGTTGTTTTCTTCAGGGCATTTCTTTTTTCCCCTAAGTTAGAAGGGAGCCCAGGTCCAGGCAAGGATTGTAGAGCACAGACACGAGAGCTAGTTGGGACCTTAAAGATTACCCAGTCAGAAGATCATCAACTTTAAGCTGGAAGTGGCATGAAACGACATCTGGTCCGACACCCTCATTTTCTAGTTGAGGAGATCATGTCCAAATCGGTTGTGACTTGTCTGATGATACACAGGTGTTAAATGGCAAAAGCAGCATTTGAATGCACGTCTTTTTACTTCAATATTTCTGTAGATTTAGAATCTGACCTCAGCCACTTACTAGCTGTGTGACCGTGCACAAGTTACCTAACACTGTTTGCCTATTTCCCCATCTCTAAAATGAGCTGGAGAGGAAAATGGCAAACCCCTCCAGTATCTTTGCCAAGAAAACCCCAAATGAGATCACGAAGAGTCAGACGTGACTGAAACAACACCACCACCATCAAGGAACAGAGATTCTGAAAAATCACAATATCTCAGGGCTGGAAGGGACCTGAGGGGCCCATCTAGTTCAATGTATACTCTTAAGTTTCCTGTCTATGACACACCCACACTTGTAACAATAGATTCCGGGCCATTGTTTTCAAAAGGGGAATTCTAAACATGCTTTGAGCAAAAGCAAGCAGTATGTGGATTCCTTTGGGGGGGGGTGGGGGAAAGAGGAGGTACCAGTAATGTGGCCCTGTTATAAGATCTAGGGCATTTAGTTTTTTTTAATAGTCACATGACTTTCTAGTCCTATTTGCTTCCCAGCAAAACTTAACTACCTGGTACCTGGGATAATTAAGGTGAGTATCAACTCTATAGACACAACCAACTCTAGGAGATGAAGTATTCAAGCGTGAGCCCCTTGGGGGGAAATCCATCCTAGTCTAATCCAATTCAACAAATATTTATTTATTTCTTTATATTTATTCCCTTTAAATTTGTTTTATATATACTTGTATGACCTGTTTCGAAAGTCTAAGTGAGGTTTCAATGTATTTGACACAAAGGTGTTTTTGGCAAATGAAGCAGAAGGTGTGGAGGGGTTGCGGTTGGGGAGGGAAGATATGCTTCTTTCCCTTCTGTGAAATCTCAGATTTTTTAAAGTAATACATAGGAGAGGTGTAAAACAAGCGCTGAGACTGCCTTAATTTTCTTGTCTTCTGAAAAGAATGGACAGGGTCAGATTGGATGTATCTATAGGGTAGCAAGCTATTCCCAGTGGGTAGTATGTGAGTGTGTATGTGCAGGTATATGTGTTTGTATACATGTATGCACACATATGCACATGTATGTACATGTGTATATATGTACATGTGTTATGTACATATATGAGTAGGTACACGTGTGTGAATGTGTACCTTGTGTGCGTATACATATATATGCACATGTGTGTATATTTATATGTGTATGCATATATTTGTGTGTGTGTTTGTAAAAGGGAGGATAAGCTGAAGGAAATAAGGCTTTCAGAAATTCCCAAGTCTCAGGAGTGTAAGCTTTCAGAAGAGAGAAGCTTCTTAGCTCTGTGAACTCTGGGAAAGGCGTGAGTTCATTCTGCCGACTGTCAGAACAGGACTTCACAGCAATGTGAGCTCCTAAACCCAGGAGCCCCGACTGTCCAAACTGAACATGCTGAAGATTTCACAGCATCCTTCCCTGATGTTGCAGGAAAGATGCCAAGGTTTCAGAATTTGGGGATCTGTGTCACATCCTACAGTTATCACATTTTTCCTTCCTGTCTGACACTCTTTTGTCTTTTTAAAGGTCCATAGAATTAGAGATGAGGAGAAAAAGAGGAGAGGGAGAAGAGACTGAGAAACCGGAAAGAACCTCAAAGGTTGAAGTCCAGTCCCTTTATTTTACAGATGAGGAAACTCAGGCCCAGGAAACTAAAATGACATACCCAGAGTCAAGCAACTAGTAAGTGGCAGAGCCAGGGTTCAAAGCCATATTCTATTCTACGTCTCATTCTACATTTAGTGTTCTTAATACCATACCATAAACCTCTGGTAATACCTACTGAAATAGCTTTCCTTAGGTGATAGTGCTGAGGAGGAGCCACTTATGGGGGGCCATCTTAGCAGTTCAATTTAAAAAACATTTATGAATGTTTTACATTCATTACATTACGTTACAAGTGCCTCTTGTATAGTATACAATTCCTGGGGAATACAAACATGAAAAACAATATAGACCCTGCCCTCAAGGACTTTATCATCTACTGGGAGGGTGTATAGGATGAGCACAAGTACATATAATGAAAAGTAGAATGTGATAAGGCAAAACAAAACAAGAATCCAGGAAAGAACTGATATAATTTTAATTCCTACAGCGAATTATTTTCCATTTGTGCCAAACTCTCCCATGAAAAAACAACCTCTTCCTTCCCATCCTTAACGAGAAGGGGTCACAAGTTGTGATTGGCTAGTGGATTTGTCATTGGCTCTTGGAAGAGTTAACCTTGTGAGTGTACATACCCATTTTTCATGGAGCAAAATAGAGTTCATTAGTTCCTGTTTGGTTCTGACCGATTTGGTTCTTTCCTTCACTTGGATGAAGTACAATGTAGGATGTTGAGTGGTATATGGAAAAAGCACCAGATTTGCAATAAAATAAGACTTGAGCTCTTATCCTGGCTTTGCTATGTGACCATGGGTAAATCACTTTTCTCTGGACTTCTATTTCCTCCCATAAAACGAAGAAGTAGAGCTGGATGATCTCAAAGGTCCTTTTGAGTTTGAAATCCTATGATTTATAGTCTCTCATTAGCTTGCTGTGTCATCTTGAGTGAATTCCTCGTCTTTTGGGAGCCTCATGTTATTTAGTTCAAAAATTACAGGATCAGATTAGATAATCTCATAAGACTTCATTGCAGTTATAAAGTTTTGTGGCTATGTAGTTACCTTAGGGTTTTTTTTGTAATTGAACTTAAGCTGAAATAAGGGGTGGTGGATGCAGAAGCTCTTGAAATAGGGGATTTGCCTTGGCTTGCCCTTTGGGCTAAAATGTATGCTAATATCCACCTAGTTTCTAGAATCTAGCATCTCTGTAAATGAAGTCATCCAGATACCGTAGTGATCATCTGATGATTAGATCTTAGAACCCAAACCAGGGACATCTATCTGAGCATCTTTTAAGTGTCAAGCAACTCTTCTAAGTGCTGGGGATACAAAGACTGGGACAAGAAAAGAATCCTCACTCACAGGAGACATACAGTCAGTACTAGACAGCTAAACTCCTTAGGTCTTACTCCAGTGAGCTATTAAATATTGAGGGTTTTCCAGCAGTCAAAGCCCATCTTCCATCTTGCTTATGAATCTCAAAGTAGCTTACCTTCCAAGAGATGCTATTATTACTAAGATTACCAGGAACAACCTAGTATGGGCTAAAATGTCTCTCAGTTTTTGGATAACTAGCATTAGATCATTTCTGTGAATTCTTTTATTATCCTCTTATGGTGCCCAGTCAGAGCTTCTTGGCTGGTTTTCCTTCAGTGGCTGAACTC